ATCTTGACGAGTGTCTTCTGACCATCAGGATCCACCCGCAAAAGAGTACTTTCTCACATGACAGGCTGTCAGTAGATTCTAAGCTCAGTAGAATGCAAGGGTCCCAAATACAGGGTAAGCAAAGAAATCTATTCAAACACATCAATTTATCTGGTTGCTTTGAGGAAAAGGCAGATGACAAAGAAAGGTGGTGAGCAGGAGGGTGGCTGAAGGTGAGTTTGGACTGCAGAAACAACAGAGCAAATGGCAGAGATGGAAAGTCTTAGGCAGAGAGAATAAAGACTGGTGTAAAGTCCTGAAAAGGTGGAAAAAGTGAAAATCCTCAAATATTAACAAAGGAAAAATTCAGAAAGAAACCAATATAGACCACCTTATTAAAATTGCTTCTTTCATTCTGGAGCATCTGGGTTAAAGTACCTTGATCCTGACAGAGCTGATGCACCCACTGTGCCCCAAGAGACCCACTCTTCAATCACTTGTCAAATTACCAGACTGACTGTGCTCCAAAACTGATATTTACCTGGGCAGGGATGGTCCCCAGTACCACTGGCTTCCTCTGATGCATCTGAGCCCTGTCTGCTTCTAAAGTGGGGTTGAAACACTGTCCTGAGACCCTGAGAAGCTGAAAGTATGCAAACTGTTCTTTTTCTCTACTCCCAGAAGCTTTCTGGGTATGCCATGCAGCTAGGTCTGCATTCATGAGGCAAAGGGAGCTCAAAATACCTTTGGCTGTTAGTGGTGCCATCTCTCCCCATAATTAAAAGTTTCTTTTGCTTTGATATAACAGGATGGCTACAAAAGAATCTTATTCTATTCCCTTTCAGTACTTGAATGACAGAAATATATGGAGGAATGTCTTATTGGAGACCTTGTCAGGCTGCTCAAGGGACATTGCCATTAATGGTGAGATCTTCTGAAGGAGGAACAGAGATGTGGACAAGACAAGGACAAGTAAAGTAGTAGTCTAGGCTTCTCTTGAACTTTGCACTGGCCAAGAAATTAAGGGAAAAGAAGGTTAGAATTTTTTTCTAATTACTACAGACAGTCTCATAGCCAGTGGCTATTTTAGGGCAATTATTTTTCTCCATTTATCCTCATTCCACATTTCACAGAGTATCTCACTTAGTAGAAAGATAAAATACACAGAGGTACCACATACAAAACCATTTTTATTGTTGTTATAATTCTCTGTTTAATGCAATGCTTTAACTAGGAATACAACTCAGCAGAAGTACATACACATATATTGCATGTAATTTTAGTTGTCTCTTCAAAATGTTTCAAATGCTCATCATCTCATTCTTTCATGGCTTGTTTTGGTGAAACACTTTCTTTCTTCATCCTGCATGACAAATTTGTATGCTGCTGAATAACATAGACATTTTCTTCCAAATGGAGCACAACATTACCTCCAAATTCCCAGTTAAAAGGACTTTATCAAACTTTGCTTTTACTGTATGAATGTTGTGTATAATATGTGTATATCTATACAGCATATATAAATATATATCTATAATGTATATATAATCAAGTGGGTCAGCCTTACACAGCTAACCATAAACTTGTGCTTATCTTATTTATATGAGATCAAATGGACAGCATCAAGAATTTGACCAGATTCCAACTTGTAAGATCCTCAATTCCCGGTTCTACCACATGATTTTGGCTATCACATACAAGGAATGCATTCCCTTCTTTCTTGCAGCAGTATTTTTGTTTGAAGAAAAGAATGCAGGGGTTTTTTATATAAACAATTAACAGCTTTTTCATACCCTTAAGTTAAAAAAGGTCTCAAGAAGAGATGAGGTTCTTCCTCATACATAGAGCTTGAAGAGTAATTTGACATTCATTGTAGATATATTTACATTATAACCTTATCTGGATAGTATTACATATAATGTATTATTTTGTACACAGTCAAGATATAGTGTTGGTCATGTTAAAACACACTATCTAAAGGTATTTACAAGTCGCTTTAGTAAGTATTTAACTTACCAACCACCTCTGGAAAGTGGCAGCAGAATTAAGGGATAAGATATAGGAACATCTGTTGATTGGCTACCATGGCACTCTCATCAGTGTTTTTATTATTAATAATACCACTACTACCATGAGGTGCTTCAGGAGAGGGCTATCTTTGGGCTAGAGGCACAGAGACAGAGCCTCCCTGAAGCTGACATGAGCTGGTGGGTGCAGAAAAACAATCCACCTGTGATTTCCTTCTCCCTTTGCAAGTAAGGGCACACCAAGCTTGTCCCCTTGTGCTTTCCTCAGTGCTGTCAGGTGAGCCAGTCCAGACATTAAACACTCAGTGAAATCTTTCCTTCCAATGGCCACTATAACACGGGCTGCAATCACATTGCCTGATGTACCACACAGAGATGCTTCTTCCAGAGAGTCAGAGCACTTTGGGGCATCTGTTAGAAAATAGTTTCTGTGTACTTCTTGGCAAGTATGATTAAAAAAAAAAAAGAAAGAAAAAGAAAAAAAAGAAAAGAAAAAGAAAAGAAAAGAAAAGAAAAAGAAAAGAAAAGAAAAAGAAAAGAAAAGAAAAAGAAAAAGAAAAGAAAAAGAAAAAGAAAAAGAAAAAGAAAAAGAAAAAGAAAAAGAAAAAGAAAAAGAAAAAGAAAAAGAAAAAGAAAAAGAAAAAGAAAGAAAAAGAACTCACCGTAGGAAGATGAAAAGAGTAGTTACCAAATAGCACTTTTTCAGGTAATGCAGAGCTTGGAAGGCACCAGAATTTGTTTCCCTTTATTTGAATAATATTTACTAGAATGAAATGTGTGTAACAAATCTACCCAGTATCCTGAAATATGAGGCCTGGGAGGACTGATACACTCATGTAACCCGCTGGTAAAGTGGAAAGTAAAAATATAGCAGAAATAATTGCATTGGTTGTGATAAACGATTCATGTTCAACTCAGCCTTGCTATAATTACACTCTTAGGCTTGGATTGTCAGTAAACGCTAGTAAGCTCAGGAATGAAAGGGAATTCAAGGGAAGGGAGGGCTGCCTTACCATGGCACAGAGCATAAAATTAATCCGTGCATGTTGCTGCATGATATTCCACTACAAGAATATTCACTCTTTGAATTCCACTGTTGTTTCTAATACAGGGATGATGAAAGTGAAGAACAAAAGAATTGTTTTGGCTTTGTTTCATACGAGGGTTTGTTTTACTTCTGATTTAAAACCCGTGCAGAAAGGATTTATGGAACTTCCCACTCCACACAGTAGGCTGGGCTTCAGCGGAAGGGGATTTGCATGCTAGAGAAAGCAGTATTTTGGTGGGGTTAAAGAGGTTGAACACCAGCATTCACAGTGCTTAAAAGATAAGGGAAACTGCATGCCTGTAGCTGAAACACAGGTGACATACTTGTTAAAGTGAAGAAGGAGAAAAGCTTTTTGTCAAGACTGTGACAAAAGAGGAAAGACAGGCAGAGAAAAGAAGCCACAGCAAATTAAAGAGCATCTCTCAGCTTCCTTCAAGGAAAGATTTTCTATAAATTTTTAGAAAAAAAGGGATTTAAAAGTCTAGAGCTTCTCATGATATACAAAACCAGTAAAACAGTAAAAGCGATATTGGATAGAAATCATTCCCATAATGTGTCTCTAGGCACAGTAAATAGACCCAGGGTGAAAGAAAAGTTAACTTCTTTTTAGCTTCTCAATTTCTACCACTTGCAGTGCTGTCAGCTGAGAGTACAGAACCATCTAAGAGAGCCTTAAAAATATCAAAGGCTATTAGACTCCAAACTCATTATCTGTCAGCAAATGCCCCCCAGCAACAGCAACAGTATTTATTTTTCTACATTTTCTTTCTTAAGACTTTATCTTCTCACAAGAAACACCCGAATTTGTCAAAAAATAAAGATTTTTAGGAATTATTTTAAGGGGAGGGAGGAAAAACATCATCGTCACTCTTTCCCCCCAACCCCCATCCCCCCTTCCTCCAGCTGCATTCATGCCAGATTTGCAGCAGGATGCCTGTCAGGATGCTTTACCTATTTGGCCCTGCTAGACTGGTACCGTGAGTAGTTTTGGGGAACAGAAGTAGCAAGGGGAGGTGCTGTCAGTTGAAGTAAAAAATTCAAAGTGTGCCCCCTCAGCACCACAGGAGAAAATGGGAGCTGTATAGCAAGGCAATATTCATCCATAGGAATGTCTCATCCATAGGAATGAAGAACAGGGATTAAAATCAGTCAAAACTGGGGAAGGGGGCAATGAGTTTACTAACAAGGCCCACTGCAAGGCAGACAGATGGACATATTCAAATCCATGAGGGGACAAAAACAAAAAAATGTCCCTCCACTCCTTATCCTGTCCCATCTGGGATGGTCAGGAGTAGCTGGGCCACCCCAAGGGTTTCTTCACTGGTGTGTGGGCTGTTCTCACCACAGACACACTTAATAAAGGCACCTCTTCTTGACAATATGCTTTCTTCCACCATAAGAGTGTAAAACAAAGGACTGATAGATTTAGCACTTGCTTTTGTCCCTTTCATGCTTTGTGAATGCCAAACAACAGATCCCTGGGGTCCCTTTGAGCACTCCCATCCCCATGAGCATTTGTAAGACAGAAAAGATAGAAAGAAAGAAAGAAAGAAAGAAAAAGCAATCTGACCTGTATAGATATGTTTGTTGCATCTGGACTATTTTTCATCAGGCAACATTGAAATACTTTGCTATCTTTGAATGGATCCTCTAATTCCTAGTAAATCAAATGAAAAATCCCAAATAGAAAGAACAGTGACAGAATTTTTTTTTAGATTTTGTTCTCACTGGAAAACAGATTTTTGATATTACTTCAGTTTTCTTTTTCTTTCTTTCTTTCTTTCTTTCTTTCTTTCTTTCTTTCTTTCTTTCTTTCTTTCTTTCTTTCTTTCTTTCTTTCTTTCTTTCTTTCTTTCTTTCTCTCTCTCTCTCTCCTCTCTCTCTCTCTCCCTCTCTCTCTCTCTTTCTTTCTTTCTTTCTTTCTTTCTTTCCCTTCTTTTCTTTCCTTTCTTTCCTTCTTTTCCACTGAACTGACATATCTTCAGACTGCTGTTCTCCTTCTGGAGAGTGAAAGTAGGGCTGGCCTGTGACAGTACAAGCCACTCCCCATGGGTTGCCAATGGGACAGATCCTGCTGCAGCAAGGTTAATATCAAGGGTTGATTGGAACTTTTAAGTTTTGGTCTCTTTCTGGAAATAGTAAATAGGAAAAAAAGAGGGGGCAAGAAGCTCTAGCTGCAGGTTTTTTGTTGTTGGTTGTCATTTTGTGGTGAGGTTTTTGTTTGGTTGGTTGGTTGTTTTTTTTCTCTTGAATCAAGTGCACAGTTTGCTCCATTTCTATGTGAAACAAAAGTCACCAGTGCAACACATGATGTGGATGTGCCAGTGGAATGTTCTGGTCAAACCCAAGGTGAAGATGCAGCAGTTCCTGTAGAAGGGCACCTGGGGCCTTGGGGCCAGTGGTGTGCAGGTGACAGCCAGGCGAGCTGGAGAAGTTACCCAGGGAGAGCTGCTCTTCAAGACTGACATCTAGATCTCGCAGAACTATCGCTCAGAAGGGAAGCGAAACCTGGTGAACGTGGTTTGGACACAAAGAAAGACATGAGAGCTCAAAGGATATTGAAAAGAACAAATTATTTTGTGGCTCTGAACAATTATCACATTCTTATCTTACTGAGCCACAACCAGCTGAAGATTCCAGAGGTTCCCAGGGCAGACTCTGCCTCTTCTCTGCCTTCAGGAGGGGGTAAACAGTATGAACACACAAATAAGATCTCGTGCAATATTTTGAATATTAGATGATATTTTCCATGTATATAAATTATGTTGGGGTGTGTGTTTGCATGCCTGTGGATACACACATAGATGTATTCTGTCATCTATTTTTACATTGTTTTATTGTCTGCAAATGTGGATGTGCCATGAAACTGTTACAAGGTGGAAACACAGAGGAAGGACTGTGCGACCTGCAAGTTTTTAAATATACTATAATACAAATCAAAGCATTTTGTCTTTTAGGATCAAAAGAGGGGATCATGCTAAGAAAAAGTGCCAGAAAGCTTCAAACTGATGGGTTTCGTTTGCTTGTTTGTTTCATGAATGTTGGCCCCAAAATAGTTTTTTCCTGTGGTATTGAGTGCCATCGCATGATGAAGAGGTATAATTGTAATGTATATCTTGCACTTCTTAACCTGTAGAGGTGTCCTTAGCTACTAGATTAATTCATTATGAGCAAGTGACAGCTTCAAATGTGAGAATAAAGGATTTGCACACCTGGCAGAAAAATGGAGTTAAAAGATTAAATAAGACAATACAAACCAATATTTCCCAATTTGAGTACCTGCACTATTGATACCCAGAGCACTTGCTTAAAGAAAGAGGCAGGTGTGTTTCTTTTAGGAAACTTTTCCAAAGAAGTCAGATTTAGAAATCAAACAGTTTTCTTTTTATCTTTGTTTTTTATTTGGATTTTTTAACATTGTAAGAGAATTAATAGTTTAAGTCTTTCCTTTGACCTGCCAAGATAAACCTAGTGAATGTAGTTTTGAAAGGCAAGCAGCAAGTTTTTCATTGAGTTATTCTTCCTTACAAGCAGGAAGATGAAAATAGTGATAGTAAATATGACTGAAGGCAAGTGAGGGTTGCAAAATTAGATGCTTGGCTGTATGGAGACAGTTATACTAGGATGAAATCACTAGAGGTATAAAATCAATGACTGCATACTAAGACATATTAATCCTGAGTTTAGCGTGGCCTTAATTTACTGTGATTTAATCCTCCTCATTTTCACTTTCTACTGGGAACTTGTACTACAAAACATGAAAATTGTCATATTGCCAAAGTGCTTTGACACTGTGTTCCAATAAGCTTGTCAAATGTAAAACTTAAATCTGCAAGATTAATTGCTCTGTATTCTCGGAGGCTGCTGTTTTGAAATGCATTTTGGAAGACTTTAGTGTAGTAGCATGAAATAACAGAATGATTTGATGTCTTATTTGGTGGGTGGCTTTCACTCCAGAAGACAGACTCTCAGGACACTGTCTATGCTTTCTTGAGTAACAAAATCTGTAAATATACCTTTGCTAGTGCCTGGAAGTTAGTTACTAAGAAGGAGGTAAAAGGCAATTTCGATAACACCTTTTCCAGAAAGTAACATCTTCTCCAGGATACATCCAGGAAGGACCCCACACTAAGTGCTTAGGCAGAACTTGGACACTGCGGGTATATCACTCTATTTTTTCTTTTCCTCAATACATTCATCATAATCGTCTTTTGATGGGTCAAGAGCATGGTGATCTAATATTATCTATTCATTCTGCGAAGCCTCAACATACCTCTCAATCGGTACATCCAACTTTAAAAGGATGTAAGCTCCATTTTCCTAGTAACAACCTCATTTCTATTCTTCAGCTGAGACCCTTTGTCTGACCGCCATGGTGGCTGATTGTATGAGACCTCTGAATTTACAATTTTGATATTCAGTCTTTGTGCCCTGGACAAGTTAAGGTACAAACAGGAAGAAAAGGCTGATGGAGGTAAAAGACAAATCCACACGTTGATATTATGTGACAAACAAAGTGAACAAAATCGTCTCAAAAGCTTTGGTTTACATGGATGCTGAAGTAGTCTTGGGATGTAGCAATCTGGACGAGACCACATCTTTTCACTTTCATCCTGACATGATGAAGTAGTCACAGAACAAAAGCCTGTAGAATGGGACAAGCTGCAGACTTCGAATGATATACAAGTTAGGCAATGATTACATGTTGAGCATAAGTACACTTGCAGAATTGATGCAGTTTTGGAAACGTGGTGTCATAAACAACATAACTTTCATCGCGATGTACCCAACATCAAGCTTCTTACATGACAGTGGCAAAAAACTGTTAGACAACTTCGAACTTTAGAAAATTTCTGCCATGATGCATTTGGATTATGCAATGATCTTCTATACTCCTATGCCTCTTCCACACAGTTATTATTAAAATTCCTCTTTTTTTTTTTCCCTAGATGAAAATGTGTTAAACGGATACAGGGGATAAGAAAAAAAAAAAGAAAGAAAAAAGAAGAACAAGTATTTTACACAGAATGACCAAAAATTGTAGACTCTAAAGCCCTTCTCTGCAGAATACTCTCAGAAAGTAAGGAACTGTGCCTCCAGTCCATATCCTTGAACAATTTTTCAAACATACCCATGTCCTAAAGATTTGTTTTCAATTATTAAAAAAATGTTTTTAAGTGTAGTTCTCAGGGGTAGAGCTGATGCCCCATGTCAGGATTTCCACTAGCATCCTGGATTGCACATTCCATAGAAGAGCATAAAGTGCTGTAGCATCGTGGGTTTTTAATTTAATTTGGAACTTCTTCACCCTTCCCATAATTATTTTTATTCTTATTTTTACCTTGTAGCTCCTATATTCTTGTAATGGCACATAAGAAGGTGCTTAAAGGTCTTCTTGAAGGTAGCATTGCAGAGCGCATAACAAGCAGGGTTGATGGTGCTGTTGATATAACAGAGCCAGTAGCCTATGGTCCACACAGTGTTAGGGATGCAGGATGTGCAGAAGCTGTTGATGAGCACCATCACATTGTATGGGGTCCAGGTGATGATGAAGGCCAGGAGGATGGCTAAAATAGTCCTTGTCACTTTTTTCTCTCTAGAGGGGGGTGGTTTCTTTTTGGCTGGCTGCTTTGTCATCTTGACTATTTTCCGGGCTACGCTATTCTGCTTCTCCTCCCCGTTCGTGCCTACGATCTCCACGGTGGTGTTGGTAGGGGCGCAGCAGTCTCCCTTTGGGGACTTTGTGACTATCTTGATGCATGTCAGCTTGGAGTTCTCCACTTTGAGATGGTCTTGGGAGGCAGAAGCCTGTTTGGCATCTTTGGTAGCTTCATCCTCTTTCAAGTTGGAGGCTACCACACTGACAGAGGTGGAGTCGTTGGAGCTCTCCTTCTCTGCTTGAACACAGTTATCAGTCACAGTCTCCTCACTGGGTTTTCCATTTTGAATTTTGCTGTGCTCCAAACCATCTCCACTGGTCGGGATGTTGTTATTGTTTGGTTTCACTATTTTACCTTGGACAAGGCTGGGGGAAACTGTATCTTGGTTTTGTGCAGCTTCCTTTTTCGCCTTCTTTATCCTGCTCTTACTGGCTCGAGAGATTTGCCAGTAAAGGACAGTCATGATGATAACAGGCAAATAGAAGGCTGCAATGGCAGTGCCAAAAGTGACAGCAGGGTTGGAAAAAAACTGGATGTAACAGTCCCCATCTGGGACAGTCCTTCCTCCCACAATGAATTGCCAGAAGAGAATTGCAGGGGCCCAGAGGATGAAGGAGAGAACCCAGGCAGCTGCAATCATCATGCCTGCCATCTTAGTGGTCCGCTTCACGGGGTATGTCAGAGGCTTGGTGACACAAAAGTATCTGTCAAAGCTGATAATGAGGAGGTTCATTACAGAGGCATTGCTGGCCACGTAGTCGAGAGCCAGCCAGAGGTCACACACCACAGGCCCCAAGGGCCAGTAGCCTATCACAGTGTAGAGGGTGTACAGGTTCATTGAAAAGATGCCGATGATCAAGTCAGCGCAGGCCAAGCTGAACAGGAAATAGTTGTTCACAGTCTGGAGGTGCCTGTTGACTTTGATCGACACCATGACCAGGATGTTCCCAATTATGGTGACTAGACTGAGAGACCCTGCTACCAGGACGATGAAGACCACCTCAACAGTTTTATAGGGGCTTTCCAAAGCCATCACATTTTCAGTGGAAGAGTTTATGTACGTTGAGTTATTCATTGCTGTTCTGCTAACAAGATACCCAGTTACCACTTAAACCTGCAGAGAAAGAAAAGAAAATAGTTACCATCAGGAAATTAGTCTCTTTGACTTTAAGAAATGGATCCCAGAAGAACTACTTGGAAAGAGTTTAAAGATAGAAGATGTATTCAGAAAAGCCAGTCAGCTTTGGCTAATGAAAACACCTTACAACATATAATATCCATTTATGAATCACATAACAATAGGCTACCTCTAAATAGGTAAGAAAGACACACAGTTGAAGCTAAATCTATATTTTTAAGTTCTCAGATGATTTTTTTTCCTCTTTATTCTTTTTTAAAGCTAATATTGACTTGAATATTTTTGAATTCAATCTGCGTATTGTTTTCTTTCTTACTGACTGTTCGTTTCAAACTCTAATCCAAATAAAAAAGTCCAGACCTGAGGGTATGACATTCTTATAAGGCAGAGTAATGCTGTGATTTACTGGGAGCCAGATCACACGAAGGCAACTTCTGTTTCCATCTTTCCTTCATGTTCCACTTGGGCATTCTTCTGTGAGATTTATGGAACAAGCAAGCTTGTGTCATGTCTCCCCCTAATTTTCTGACCCTACAGTCCCTTTTTTTGGTCAATACATGCAAAGACTTTGGCCCTGTATGAAACTAATTAGTCTGGTAATAAACAAAAAAAGGAAGGCCTGTTGAAGTCAACAGAATAAGTAAACTCACCTCAGTTGAGCATCTGGCTATCTAGTTAGATGCATACATTTTTTATTTTATTTTTTTTCAATTTCAGTGAGATTAAAGTTATTTTTTACATACTTTTGAATATTTGTACCTGAAAAAGGCATTGTTGTTTTTTTGAATTTTTTAAACGTGATGAGATTATGCTTGCTAGATGCTTGTTTGGTGCTTGCTTTCTTGTACAATTCTCATTATTTTTCAAATCACAGTATTTTTAATCTGTATCACATGAAGCTACAACAAAAGGTCCATGGAAATGGGTAACAGGGTAATGATAAATAAAGAAAAAGACAAAAATCAGTTCTGTTTATACACAGAATTCTTTTTGTGTCCTGCATAGCCTACCAGCAGTACTCAATAAATTATAATTAAACTACTAGCAATATACGACTGATAGAAGACTAAGAAAATGGCACATGCTTTTGCCTTCAGGATATATACTATTCTTTTTGTGCATCTCCTGGAATTCAATAAAATGCACTGGAATTGTACAGCCCGTCTCTGAGTGCTCATTGCTTATGAGCTGTGCTCAAGGGATTATTGAGGCATAAAGGCCAGATGTGACAGAGAAGTTAGATTTTTTTCTAATTAAAGTATTCTCCTTTCTTTCCTCAACCATAAGGCATCACTTTTTTAAAAAAGGGCTTCTAGATATGATGGTACAATTGAAGGAAGACAAAAAAATCATTTAGGTTGGCTCCTTTATACACCCAGGGTTAAAGAACTCTCTTCTGGTCCCTCTGACTAACCTGCTGATGCACAGACATACACAGTCCATGTCACTCCAAAGGAGCAATGCATTTTTACTGCCATTTCAGAACTGTGGTTTGGTTGTTTTACTGGTTTTTTTTCGAGATGAAAAAGAAAGAAGATGATGCAAAATGTCAGCATAGCGGCAAAAACCCTTCTGACCTCCCAGGAAAATAAGCAAGTCTGTCTCCATGGAAAAGTCAAAACGCTATACCAGGGTAAAGGTTTTCTTTTCTGTCTGTAATCTTGTAATTTATACATAAAGAAATACAACTGGCAGAATGTGGGACTCATGCATTTGCCTTTGCTTTCAAAAACAGCTAAGATTTTTTTGTCAATTCCACGTTGAAGTGAATAGAGGAACATAAGGCTACATATACATTTTTTTCCCTGCTATCTGTTCACAGGTATATCCCTAGAATCCTTGGGATCAGGGTCAAGAGAACAAAACAGGGAAGAGGAATTCTTCAGTTAAATCTGTGCTTTGTACAGTAAGAATAAGCTGAATGGAATGTAACAAAAAAAATTTATACTCTGTGCAAAAAAATAGACAGGACACCTATAATATATAGGACTGTTGTTTCAGCATTTCACACTGTATTTTTCTCCCAGAGTTTCACAAATGAGCTGCTGGTTATCCTGTTAGATGTGTCAGATATCAATTTTTGGGACAAGCTAAGAACTTCTCCCAACCAGATTTGTTTATGAACATTCTTAACAGAATGCATTTTTAGTGAAAAAAAACAAAATAACACATAGAAATGTACTGATTTAAAAACAAATGCAGCTGAAAAGTCTTTGTGATCCAGGGCTCTGCAGCTACCTCTGGTGACAGAGAGTGAGTGGGGGAGCAAAATGGAATTAAGTGAGAGAGGATCAGAGCTGAAAAAATTGTGCTTTATGATAGAAAACAAGCGTTTCTCTTCAATTTATTTTTGACAAAATGTTCTGAAGTTCATTTCATTCCACTGAAAAACAATAATTTGTTTTAGAAACTGGAAACTTGTGAAACCAAATTACCATCTCCCAGCTAACTTTATTCCTAGGTCTTTACAGGTGAAATTTTTACCCACTTGCACTGTAAATATTTGTAATTCAATATAAGTTCTCTTGATTTTGTTATCTGGGATGGGGGTAGTGAGATGAAAGCTAAAGTCTAATTTTACTTGCTGGTAATAGGAGGAATTCAGTGTGTTAATGTGAATGGAAGCAAAGCAGAGGAGTCCCTTGCCCAGTGATCTCTAGTTGCACAAAACTTTCCTGCCATAAGAAGGCTGCTAGTTCTGGATTGCAAATTACATTGACAATTACAGATTTCTTAGGTATGGAAAAACATATCTCCTATTGCTAATTCCAGTAAAAACTTCCTTTGCTTGCATCAATGCCATTGTAAAGTGACCCATGTGCTGTGTATCTTGACAAGAAGGCAAAGGACCAGAGAAACGTTCAGTTTCAACTGACATTTATTGTTGCTGCAGATAATACCACCCTTATTGGAGCAGAGACAGCGGTGTGCATGTTTCCTAAATCAAGACACCCTGAAATCTTCTGGACTCTTTCCTGTTGGCTCCAGCAGGGCTTGAATCAGGCATGTAGAGAGGCTTCTGTTTCTTATTGTGGTCGCTTGCTGCCTTGGTAGAGGACTGCCTGTGGACTGCTTTTGGTTTTTGTCATGCCACAGAGCCCATCTCTCCTGCTGGAGAGGCAGTTGTTATGGGAGCAGATGTTATTCATCAGGCAGAGTTACGGGGCAGAGGCACTTCAAGGTAATATGACCTCCTGCATGAGAAATACCAGATCTTATTCTTGAACAAACAGAGCTCTCCTCTGCAAGCCCATGGGTGTTTGTGTGAGTTGCACAATATGGCACTGACTCCCATGGGCTTCTATAATTTATCCTGCTATACTAAGTGCATTCTTGCTAAACAGAGAATACCCAGAAAAGGCAAGGAATGTCTCTTGTGACCTGAAAAGCAACCAAGTTCCTTTTCTGAAATATATTTCAAAATATATATGACTCTGTGGAATGGAAACACCATAATCATCACATGGAAAATGTTCAAAGCCAAGAAAGCCACATATAAAATAATTCACTGTTTTATATTTGATATGTACTTGGGAAATATTTCCAGTGCAGTTGTTTCTCCCTCTGAAGAATTAATAGTACTGAGAATCATTCCCATCTTTTGACTAGGTGATGGTTTGGGGCAGAACTGGGGGGTTTGGTAGACGATATGGTGCATACACTGTTGGCCTGATGTGATCCCGGGTCTTTTTGCAGTGAACAGTTGACAGGAAGAAGCAGAGCACGTGTGGGTTGACTTGGACCCCCAATACCACCCACTAGGAGAAACCTAGTCCAGGCTGCCACAAGCTGAAGTAAATCTTCTCAGAGCATGCTGGCGGCCACAGTATGCCTTGTTTTCCTTCATTTACCTCCCTAGCAGTTGTGTTGAACAGAGAAACAGGTCTGATGAGTGAAGTCTTTAAGCTGGTTCACTGTAAAAGGGAACTGCAGTGGGTGTGAGGAAAAAAAATGTTGCTATTGAGGCTGTTCATCCTATTCTGTTGCAGGCACTGAGGAGGAGGCCAGCAGAAATGGGAGGTAAAGGAGGAGGGACAAGGACTACATATCACCCTTAGGATCATGATCTTCAAACAGCAGGTACTTAAATACTACATCCTGCTGGATGTGCTTTCCACTTACCCTGACAGGAACGCACCTCTTTGGTGCAGGTGAATCTTATACCAATAATTGTGATTTTAAATTTAAAATATATCTCCAACATCTGTCACAAAAGAGACTATAGAAATGTTGTGCATATTGAATAAAGTGGCTGATACACCACGCCTGTCAAAGTTTGTTAGACAAATCCTTCCTCTGTATTGTCCTTATTGACAAGTTAAATTTGGTAAGGATTTAATGTCTTCTTTGAATTCTCTGAAATCATATGAAGGTCAAGACATGAAAGAGGCAACTAATGATCTGTACCTGAAAGTTATATTTGTGATTTAAATGGGATTATCCAGGAATCTCTGTGTCTTTCCACTGTGAGCACTTCTCAACATCCAACTCTCAAGCAAAAGTAAGATACACTTTAACTTCCCCTCTTTGATCTAGTTCCTCTTCAGCCAACACCTATGTCAAATAGATTTGATTTCTGCTCTAGCAATAGTGGATCTTTTTTCCTGAACTGATTTTTATCCTGAACTGCACTGGTTTTGATTCTAAATTTCTTCCTGCCATCATTTAAACCCACAGTGTGAAAGTGAAAAGAGAGAAACAAAATCCCTAAGCCTGTGAAAAATATCCTAAATCCATCAGTCAGAATTTGTTATGGACTTTAAGAGAGAATATAGATAGAATCTAGGCTCTTGATAAAAATATATTTCAGAAAATTTCCAAACACCTGAAGACTAAAATCTTCACCACACGGATTACTTTCTGCAATCCTTTGAAACTAGAAACATCTTTGCAAATTGTTGGTGTCTCAGTATAGTCCATTCTCTTTATTTTCATGCACTTTTGTTTATCTTAATCAACAGATTTCCTACAAAAAA